ATTGGTTTGGACTGGGGGGCCTAATATGATATGCTTTCATGGGGCCCAAAATCTCTAGCAACGCCCCTGACCTGGATGGTAATGGAACCACTTTTTAAAGTATTGTTATTATGGTTGATCGTCTGGGAATAATCGATTGCCAAAAGACATGGCTGAGAACAATTATTTGTTTAAATTAATAATAGAAATGTTAGTAGAATGACTGCTGCATTTGGACATGCGTTTATTCGCTTAGCATCAAGGTCGTTTTGTTATTTATACCTCATCTACACAATGCATGCAGTGACACGGGGTATTCACCGAGACTTACCAACAATAAATCGGTCCTAAGGGATTCACGGGACTTTTTGGTGCAAATATGTTAAAGGGGGTTACGATTCAAAACTCATTTCGTGTCTAGTATTTTATGAACGCTATGCAATGTTTGGTAATGCTTTCACTGTCACGAGTTTTTTGTTTTATATTTTGCTTTTTTTTTTTTGTTTTTATTGGTTCTTTGTCTAATTTTTAAAATAATTATTTGATTATCCCCGAAACGTTTAGTTATAGACGATAAATTCAGAATGAAACTGAATTTAGTGTACTGTGTATGGTTGTATGTATTGATGTGTATACATACTTTAAAATATACTAAACTATATAGTGTTTTGGGGAACGGTCAGTGTTAAATATTTCCAAGGTACTGTAAGTATTTGTAACATAGACCTCTGAAGCACAAATTTATTGTCTTTTACAAAATAATTAAAAGTCACCAATAAAGAGAATGTGCTTTTCTTTTCTCAAAGTGCTTTACGTGTGTATTAAATATATGACATCATCATAATAATAAATCCTCTTCGGCTATTATCGTGTTTTAATTTACGATGCGACGTCTTCAGTTTTGGGTGGGTTAAAGTAGATTGAGTTCGTCAAGACAGTAAATCACGCTAGTTACCTCTGATACATTTCAACGTACTACTGAGCCACTTAATCTAAGGACTTTTATTTTGATAACAACTCCTGGAGCGTCGGTAGAAACCTGAGTTCTAGAATCCCATAATCCCAGAATCCCTTTCGCTTCCGCCTTCTTTGCCGAGCCAAGTTGTTGTTCTTCATTAACATGGCCATGGCGGGAGCTACCGGTGCCAATGAGTTGCAGAGGGAGCTGGTCTGTGCAATTTGCCTGGACTTCTTTGACGACCCAGTCATTTTGAAATGCGGTCACAATTTCTGTAGATTTTGCATACTGATGCATTGGGAAGAGAACGGCGGCGAGGACGTGGGTTATCAGTGTCCGGAGTGCCGACAGGTTTGTGTTTCTTGTGGCTGGGCAGTTGTGCTCATATGCAGCTAGTAAAAGAGATGATCAGTTTCTGAGTTTGCTGCCCAAGCGAAAATAATATTGGATCTGTCCAGTAGATACATGCAAAATTTAATGCAAATGCGTGCAAATTTTAATTTGACTAATATAGAGCTGTTTTCATTCGAATAGCAAGATGTTTGGATTTGATAGTTGCCTAGATATGCAACGATGGCTGATGTGTAGATTTAAATCTTAAATACGTAATTTCAGATGCAGTCCTTTTTTTCCACAGATATTTGGAAAAATAAGTTTCACGAAGAACTACCTGGTTAAGAACTTGGTAGATAAATTAAGTGAACTGGATTGCTTGCGACAATGCAAGCCTCAGAAGCCAGCTGAACAGATCAAACCAGAGACCAGATGTGAGCGACATCACGAAGAGCTCAAACTGTTTTGCCACACTGACCGGAAGCCCATTTGTGTCGTGTGCCGGGAGTCAAGAGCCCACAGGTAAGTAAACAGCATCCAAACGTTTATTTGCGCACGTATTAAATTATTTAGAATTCCTTTCCATATATAAGCGATGCATCTAGGATTGCTCTTTGTCGTCGTTATATCGCACCAAGAGGAATCCGCTTTATCACCGCGGAGATTACATTGCAGTGTAACTGATAGAGATCAAAAGTACGATCTCGGTGACTTATTTATGCGATAGGCATAGCTAGAAAAATACGCAATCTGTGTTAACCGACAAATGAGTAATGAAATATCAGCTCGTATTGGAGGAGGAAGGGGTCAAAACAGATTGCAAAACGTTTGTCTTTAGGTTCATTTAACTGATATTCACAAAGTAGCACTTGTTTCACTGTAAAAAAAAAAAAAAGTTACTTTCGCGTAACAGGTTTGAAAGTCAGTGCTGTTTTGATTGCTCAATATTAAAATACATTTATTCCTATTAGTAAAAGTATTATCTGTTTCACGTGTGCAATTCATGTACAAACGTCCCCCGTTGTGTTTCTTCATGGTACTAAAGATATCCTTCCCCATGCAATATGTAAATGCTATACCGACGTTTTGACACCCGTTTTTGTTTGTGCCTTCTGTAGGCACCATGACGTGTCTCCCATTCCTGAGGTGATCGAAGACATGAAGGTAAGAACAGTCAGGATCTGAAGGCCATAACTTAGAGTGAAGCAGTTCTTTGCTTTGCCTGTTGGAGTTGAGGTTTTTGTTATCAGACAGTACAGAACATGTAAAAACATGTCCCCCTGCCTCAGTATTTTAATGCATTTTAATTGCATTTCCTAGGCAGACCTGAGGATGAGGCTCATCAAGCTGAATTTTCACAGGACGCTGTGCGCCCAGGTGATAGCGGCAGATGAGCGATCAAAGACCAATGTCAAGGTGGGTGTGAATTGCTGGGCTTGTTCGCCCCCTGCTGGCCAGTTTGGTCAGTGAATAAAAGCTACCTGACATTAAGGAGATCTGCTTAAAAAATCTGTTTTCTATATATGAACCAGCTTTTAATAAATGTAATATTCATTTGGTAATATACTGGCGAGTATGGTTTTGGAAATCCATCCAGTCTAACAGATTTTTGTGTGTGGAAACCAGCTTAAGAAACAGGAGCTGAAGGAGAAGATTGAGAACGAGGTGGGGGAGCTGGTTCAGTTCCTGTTGGATGAGAAGGATGAGCTTCTGGCCAGCCTGGATACAGAGGAGTACACATATGTCTCCGTGATCGACGAGAACCTGAAGGAGGTGGAGCGCGAGATGGCGACTGTGGACGTGGCTATCTCAGACATCCAGCGCAGCCTCTCAGATAGCAGCAGCTTTGAGGTTTGCTTTTCAAGATTACATTTGGATGTATCTCTAATTTGTCCATGTCGTCTGTCAGTTTTGCTTGTATCTTAAATTTCAGAATGCTAATTGTCTTAACTTCTTTTCTGCAGGGCATTTCCCATACTACTTCAAGGTATTTTTTTCTCATTTGATTTATCCTTTCATTGGTGTCATTTCTTAATGGGAATTAACGGTGTATGTTTGTGGTAAATATACGTGTTGTGGTTCCCTTAAGGCCTCATCAAGCGCTTCCGATACAATCTACCGACTTCTTGCCGAACTGGGAGGAGTTCAAAGGTCCCCTTCAGCTCATCCTGTGGAAGAAGATGATTCACGTGCTAAAAACAGGTAAGTGCAGCTTCCGTTTTTATTTGTGTTTAGGATTGTAACGCCGGCCTCTTTTATTAGGCCTGTAATGTGGATACAAGAAAAATGAGGTTTTTCCATGTAAGGGTCTCCTAATAGCCGTGGGTTTATATTTGAACTAATTCTGCAGACACAATACTATGGAATCTCTGAGAGCACAATGGTGTTGCCAAGATATGATGATGAAAACCATGCAAACAATTACAGAAAGAGCACGACATGATCTTCTGGAGTGTGCCACCTTGTTTCTCTGCTCTCCACAGGTCCTTCCAACCTCACCCTGGACACAGACACCGCCCACCCCAACCTTGTGATCAGCGGCCACGACACCGCGGTGGAAGAGGCACGGAGCCGGTCCCAGGAGCCAGACCTGCCACAGAAGTTCACCCGCTTCTTCGGCGTCCTGTCCACGGCCGAGTTCTCTTCCGGGCAGCACTACTGGGAGGTGGACGTCCGTGACAAGGGGGTCTGGTACCTGGGGGTCACCACCAAGTACAGCAACCGCAAGGGTTTCGTGAACCTGTCCCCCTCGGCCGGCTACTGGAGCCTGTGCCTGCAGGACCGGCTGTATGCCAATGAGGAAGATGCCCGCCTGCCCATTGCTGAATACTGGAACACGCCACGAGTGGGCGTCTACCTTGACTACGACGGAGGCCGGGTGTCCTTCTACGACGCCGTCACCATGAAGCGTGTTTACACCTTCGACGCGTACTTTGATGACCCCGTCTGTCCGTTCTTCAGCCCCGGGAAGAACAACCCTGGGAGCAGGATGCATATCTGCCATTATTACTAAAACCTGCAGATGCCAGACTTAAAAAGGAACTGCGGCATCAAGACTGTAAAAAGGGACATAAAATATTTTTAGCTACCCTGCCCATGTGTTAACCCTTCTAGTGCAAACTTTTGTGACGGTGACCTGTTTTTTTTTTGCAAGTAGATTAATTTTTAGTAGCTGATAATGTGCAGTAAAATGATGGTAAATGAAATCTTATTAAATGCATTGTAGAATCTAGATGTGTATTTGAACTTATCATTTTTTTGTCTAATCACGACATTCATTAATGGAGTCTGACTGAAGGTGGTTTTTTCATTTCTGAGAAAGTTGCGGTTGAACTTGCTACTTTTAACTGATTTCAGGAAAAGTGTCTTTCTGCTTGCGTTTGTGTGTCATTTTTGGTTATTTAACGTTGTATTTTATTATTTTAAATCAAGGATTCCAAGCTTTTTCTGGATCCTCTGGATAAGCATTCTCAACAAATGAGTGCAAGCATTGCAGCTGAACTAGGGGCTTTGGGGTGCATTCTGGTCACTCTACCATAGTTATTTGGGCGTGATGTTCCAGTTCTTTAAAAAATGAAATCGGGCACAGCACTGTCTGGCTGTCGTCCTTCTGAATAGTGTACATGCTTTATATGTGTGCCGGTAGCTTTAAGACCTCATAAGCGAAAGTGATGCTAGTTGTTGTTGTTATTCTTGCTATTGTTGCTATAGTGCAATTGATATTAGGTCATTTCAGTCAAGTGTAGCAGATCTACGAGTTTTTATGAGATTTAAATTTTAAACAAAGCTCGTTTTCAAGAGCAGGTTATATTTTTATGCGCTGTGCGTAGCCCTCTTCGGATTTTTTTAACATGTCAAAGTCGGATATTTCTGTCAACACGATACATTTATCGCCCGAGTGCAGATTAGCCACCTTAACCTCCCTCAAAGGTAGAAGTGTTGGTGTTGTTTTTTTTTCCCTTTGTTTTTAACCCATGAACTTGCTGTTTTTTTTTTTTTTTTTAAGTTTTGTAGTCATTAGCTATATCTGACATTTCAGATTGTCTGTAATGAACTGTCAAAATCTCTGTAAAATAAAATGTAACTGTAATTAACATGTTTGTCTTTTAAACCAGTTGGATTTTGCTGGAAGTGACCGGCTCTGGAGATGGTTGAGTTCCATGGTGATTAATTTTAATGTACAGTTGATAAATCAATAGAAGTATGAAACAACGAAATGAAAAGATGAGCACTCGTGCATCCATGAGAAGCGTTTGGGTTTGTTTCAGTGTTTCAGCTGCTGTATGCCCCCCGCCCCGAAAGATAAGGTGTTATTAGCCTCTAAAGCCAAGGATGTTTCTCAGTGGTTTTCCATAAGACTTTTGTTGGGTCTAAGCAGCCTGATGGCGTCACAGAAACCAAGCAATCAGTCCATGTAGAAGGTCACAAAGTATGAAGGACATTGAACATGAGTAAGGGAGAAAGGCAAAGTGCATAATCTGTAAAAGGAGTGCGACAACGTTTTGGTAGGAACGTTTGAGTAAAAATGCAGAATGTCCCACAAGCCTTTGCATTACCTTCAAGGTGAAACGTTGAAAATTACTGGTTATGGAAGAACTGGACCAAGTAACCAACCTGCCTGAGGTTAGTAGGTTAAACGGTTGAAACCCCTCTCTAGTGGTGATATTTATTGTCAATGTGGGGAGAAGCGTGTGAGAGTATCCCACAGGGAGCAGTCGGAGGTACAAGGTATTTGCATAAAATACAATGCTAATTTTCCTTCATGGCTTCATTAATCAAAGGCCCTTTTACTGTGCCTGTATGATGGGGTGTGTTTTGTTATCTTTGAATTATTATAAATTACTACAGCAGATGGCGCTATACTACCAGTGATCAATGGCACTCCTGCAAACAGGTGTTTCAAAACGTCTTTTGAAATAAATTTATCATGTGATTTTATCCAACTTAATCATGACTATAGATTATTCTTCAAATATTTATCTGAGAGTTTAGCACTTGTTAGAAGAATTTCAGCCACATTCATTATGATGTTCCTGTAAAATAGGCTTCTGTTCTTTTGGGGTAACACTTTATCTGATGGGGCACAAATAATGTAGTTTTATGCTATTACTTATGCATGAATTAATCACCAACTTGGTTACATGGTGAACTTGTGTTCATTCATCATTAATGAGCTGTGATGCCTTGTATCTCTACTATATCTCTTACTATTTCTGTTCTGTAAACTTTTGTGAACTACTGAAGGAACAAGTAATGAATAACATAAGTGAAATACTGATTTCATCATTAGTGAATCATGATAAATCTTTTATTGCAAGTAGTAACTATTTGTTCATGATTTGTACTTCAGTAGTCACTGAGTTAGGGGGTGGCATGGGGGTGCAGTGGTTAGTACTGTTGCCTTACCCATCTGGGATCAGGGTTTGCATCTCTGCCATGGCTTGCCGTGTTGGTAGGGGGCGACATCCCCCCCCTTCTCGTGGCTGGCTGCTTTGTCTAAAGGCCACAGGGAGGAGCTTTGAAAAGCATGTAAACATGATTCATATTTGCTCTTAAGAAAGGAATTTGCTGAAGCTTCTGCCACAGGAATGTATGTCTTTTACAAAGTATCCATTTCATAGGCAAGGACTGGCATGAGTTAAAGAGCCTCTTGTCTTATATAATTTACTTGTGTGCAAAGTGCAAAGTCCTAGTAAGGAATCAAGGATTTTTTATTTTACAGTGAGGCTATATCATTCAGGGAAATGAAAGGTGATGAAATCTGCCTTAATAAAAACAGTGAAGCAATTAAGATGTTAAAAGTAACCAGATAATAAATATGTAATAAAGAAGGAACAGTAAGTTATACTGGAAAAAGACCAGGGATTTGCAACACAGTACAAATAAAGTGCATAAATAAGGTACAACTGTTAAATTATAACTGCCGACAAAGTAAAAATGAGTCTGAACTGGATCTTGGCGAAATGTTGTTCATAAATTGCTGCAGATCCGTAAACCCGGATCTGACCTGGTGTCTTTTTGCACAACAGACCAATACTGGTCCGAATCCGCTTTCTGGATCTGAAACAGATAAGGACCCTATATGGGACAGATTTACGTTGAATGTTACCAAATCTGACCCATATTTGCACCAGAGTCAGAAGTTAAATTCGGAGCTGAGTGCAAAGGGGCTGTGAGTGGCTCAGTGAGCTAAGTCTCTGTGCCTGTAATCAGGTGGTTGCTGGTTCAAGCCCTGGCTTTGGCAGAGGGCACTGCACTGCACATCAGCTGTCCCTGCCATGTGACTCAAGCTATGAAGAGTAAGATGTGCTCAGTGAAGACAAGTATTCCCATGTTTCTATTCCTGTACAATTCCTTGTTTTTTAAATGTGGCTCAGACTCTTTTTTTTCCAGACTGACTGCCCACCTTTTTTCCAGACTGACTGCCCACCTTGACATATGTGGCTGGTGAGTGGCTCAGTGGGCTGAGTCTCTGTGCATGTGAGCAGAAGGTCACTGGTTTGAGCCCCAACCCTGGTGGAATGGTCACATGTTTGTGGGCCCTTGAGCAAGGCCTTTAACCCCCAGCTCTGGTACTGTAGTACTGCATGTTATCTGACCTCTAAGAAGGAAAAACAATGGAGCTGTGTAAATAGGCAGCTTAAATTCTGCTCCGGGGTCCTACCTTAGGCTCTTGGAGCACACCTTAATAAAGGCTTTTACTTACACAAGGACAGCTACTCTGGAACACATCTACCCCCATAGTTTGGAGGTCAGAGCACAGGATTAGCCAACAGGTAGCACTCTTCCAAATGACCACGCCAGCTGGAGATACCCATGGCCGTAGAGCTACCTATGATGGTACGGCCGATGCCTGGCTTTAGATATCTGAATTTGTACATGATTGGATCAGTTGAGGGCATCAAAGATACAGACTCTAAGACAGAAGGTGCTGAGACATTCCTACCCCATCCTGCTCTCCCTGAGACACATATCCCAGAGCAATGAGGGAATATGGCGACAAGTTAATTACAGCTAAGCCAAGATGACATGTAGACAACTTTGTTGCTTACTTGTCCCTCCATTCCTGTCAGTTTTTTCCTCATGGATTTAAGCTAACGCTGTAGGATATCTGTAGGGAATGACTGTGTAACGTCGACAAATTTTTTCTTGCAGATTTTAGCTTTGTGGAGTGTAGGACTGTGATGTTGGGTATTACTGCAAGTCATTCAAAATTTTTCTTGCAGATTTTAGCTTTAGAAAAAATTATTTGCTTGATTTTTACTAAATATTGTCTTATGAAGCTAGGGCCACTGGATTATGCAAAAATTATAATCGCTATTATTTTGGTCGATAGATGATGATTTAACACAATTGCTATCATGCATTTTTGGAATTTTGAAAAAAACTTGTCTTTCTAACAGTCGATTTTCTTTAACTCTAAATGGGTGATTCCTGTTTTGGACCACATATTTGGCTGTCTGTTTTCTGAAAATTGGAATGATTGTATTTTATGGTTTAAACATTTTGTCAGGACTATACCATACTTAGCTATGAGGAATGCATGTTTGTCAAGCTCAGGGGTTGAAAATATTATAATTATGGGATTTTTTTGTATATGTTTCTCCAGACGTTTTCCGCCCTGTTGGGGACATGTACATGGTAATCACAGAGTTTAAATAATGTATAAGTCAAACAATACTGAACTTTTCTGGGATACAATGTGTCCCTTTTGCTATGATAAAAGTTTCATTCTTGTAGCATTAACAGTTTTAATTTTATGAAGAGTACAATGTCAGAATGATGGAATCTGTGCATTTTTTGCCCTCATTTTGTTGTCTTGTATGGGGAATTTTATTAATTAGAAATAAAAGTATATGTAGATGCATTATATGTACCTCATTTAACAAAACAATATACAAATATACCAAACACTTACTGTTGTGATTAGAATATTTTTTTAAATCATTGCCTAACAGGGTGGAATAGAATATAACAGGGTGGAACCGAGTAGGCCTCTTAACAAGTAGATTCAGATTCAGAACAACAATACTACTACTACAATTAATAATAATAATAATAATAATAATAA